TACTTTGGAAGGGAATGCTTCTTCATGGGATGTTTCGATTTGAGACAATGCTTATCCTATCTCATAGGTGACCGAGACATCACTGCAATTGTTCGGGAGCTTCGATATCTCACTGCACCGCCCGTAGTCCTGCTTCCTGCTCCCGTATCCCAGAAATGGAGGAGGCGTGGCTGCGTGCTTTCTTTACTTTGGAAAGGGATGCTCCTTCATGGGATGTTTCGATTTGATACAATGCTTATCCTATCTCATAGTTGACTGAGACATCACTGCAATTGTCCGGGAGCTTCGATATCTCACCATTAATGCGTTGCCGCCGCAGCGAGCTGAGGTACGCAGCCACGCCCTCCCACTCTCCGGGGTGTGGAGTGTAAGATGGCGCGAATGCTTCTTTTTTTTTCTTCCGTTCGCGATTCTGAAATTGTTCGTAGTCGATGGAATGATTTTCAAAGAATGTATGGTCTTTATAGTGAAATGCCTCGCCACAGTGGAAGTGGCGTTGTAAAGGAAAAGGATAAAGATAAAGATGGTACGAAAGAGAAGCCACATGGTAAAGAAAAACATCGAGAAAAAACCGATCGTAAAACACATGCTGACAATGAGCGGGTCGGACCAAGTAGGTACAAGACGAATGTCTGACGCAGAAAGGTAGGAGATATTCATTCATTCATTTCATTTTTTTGCTTTTATTTTTCCTCTTTTACATTTTATAACCTTCCCATTATTAATCGCTTGTATGAATCGCTGGTGCAGATCGAGTGATGTCCACACCTAACGGGAAAAGAGAGCGAACCTCAAGGCGGTGCCATTCAAACCGCGCTGCAGACGCTGAGGCGAGAGGAGAGGAGGGGCTGGATTTAGCGCTGCGTCACATCTCTTCCTACACCAGCTGCTGAGGCAGGCAAGCGACAACAGTTACCGGAAAACAGCTGACGCAGTGCTAATCCCAACCCCTTGGCACGTCCTACCATCTGCACCGCGCCTGTATTGGCGTTGGGAAGAATTTTTTGCCAGTTACGACCCCATCCCCCCACCTCACCAAGTTCTCCTCCGGTGCAACCCGTCCTACATGCAGACGATTACTTCCCAAACTTTCACGAAAATTTACCGTCGAGGCAGGGATAATCTCCGGACCATCTCACCTCCGGACTACTATCAAAAAAACATGAGAATATGAGAAAAATAGTCGCTTCAGGAGATCGCGTGTTTTCCTCAATGCGTCGAATCGCGATCAGCGCCGATCGATACCAATCCTCCTTTGGCGCGCATTCTCCTGACTGGCCCATCGCCAAATCTCTCATTCCCCCCTGACCCATCGCAAAGTGGGAGCGGAGAGCGCGGGTCTAACTCGAACCCTGCCCAAAATCACCCTCTTTCCCACAAATTTTGCAAACGTTATTCAAAAAGAGCGAGAACTGAAAATTCCGGTCCCACTGGGTTTTGCAGATAAGTCATCCGGCGCCAATTATGAACCATCCCATTTTACGTCTTACAGTTCTCAATAAGGCACATCATGAGTTGGAGACTTTGGTCGAGTCCGTACCATTTCCCCCTCCCCCCTCCCCTTAATTCCGTCCTCTGATACGATCGAGCTGTCGAGCGGAGGGGGGGGGGGATTCTCCCAACTCCCTACTAGTTTTTCTTCTCGAAATTTCCCGAAAATTTTTGGGTTTTTCTCGGGAATTGGCCGTTGGACGAAAGGGGCGGGGACTCCTGATTGACTCACTCATACTCTCTAGTTCGCTGCGGAGGGTTGGGCGTGATGCGACAAAAAGTGGTAGAAAACGAGTAATACGAACGATATGATACAGTCATATCATTTGCTCGCTTTAACAACTGGTGGAGAACGGGTTTGGCACCGCGCCAAACTCATCCCGCCTGACACGCCCAACCGTCCGCAGCGAACTACAACATAGCATAGTGTCGCAGAGCATAAACAGACGCGCTGCTGTCTGCCCCCTCTTGAAGCACGTTGGCGCCCATCCACCCAAAACTATCACTGATTAAAGGGAGTTCTTGGTAGTAGGAGTGACGATTTCTCAGAAGACGACCCTCTAATGCTGAAGTCATAGTTTTCTTTCCTCTACCTGGTAGGATAGCTGTGGGGAAATGCACGTTTAGCCGGAAAATTCTACGTTGACTAGATGGTTGACAAGTCTTCCTGTTTCAGGAAACATTCCGTACGTCCAACCGATGAGTTGAAATTGCTGCAGGTTCGTGAAGTTTCGTTAGCGTTTTTTTTATCCCAGATCCTTTTACACTTTTGGAAGACATCTGTCCTTTTTCTTGAAGTGTTCAGTTTAATATATCTGACCAACATTTCCTTTTTATTTTTTTCATTGCCCTCCAGTTTCCCGAAGAAAGGCGAAAATATTTTTCTCTCAACTTTGTGCTGTTGTTGAATAAGCCACTAAGTGTAGGACCGGAATTTTTCGAAAAACTACAGTACTTAGCTTCGTTGCAGGACCAGCTACCGTACTCTTGTGGCACATTGCGGGCATTCCAAGCTGGCCTAAATTTACATGCGCTTGCTTCTGGATTCAGAGAGAACGGAAGGTAGCCATTTGTCAAAGAGAGGACTATGAGAGGGATCAAAACAGTCTTTCTGCCTTTTTGTAGGGTCAGTTGCATATACCTGACAAGTTAGCATATCGTTCCCACATGCTGCAAGGAAAGGAACTTTTGAAATGGTTTAAGATCAACTTGATCAAAAGTACATATGATCTTGATCAGTATATTTTATTAAGCAGAGGCTGACAAGGAGATAGCAGTAGATGCTTTCAAACATGCGGATATTTTACGGTTCCTGCTCCGGTTTCTCGTGATATAAATGGTGATGTATCCGTATACTCATTTCCTTTTTTTCAGGAGTTGATCTAATTTCCATACGACCCCAGAGCAAACTGAGTACGAATCCTAGCCTTAGAACTGTATCTTCATCTCTCAGCAATCAAAAATTATCAAGCTGAAGGAATGTCTGCGGTTTCGGAAGCATTCAGTATTTCCTCCTGCATATCGTGAATAATGCACACAATAACACACACACACACACACACACACACACACACACACACACACACACACACACACACACACACACACACACACACACACACACACACACACACACACACACACACACACACACACACACACACACACACACACACACACACTTACTGATGAAATGCACACATAACACTTCCCTAGCTGGTCTCGTAGAAAATTGGCCTGCGCATATACACAGCAATAGAATCTAAAAAACGCAAAACTTTGTCCAAGTCAATACGTTCCGGACCGCGTGACACACATGGTGTGTCAAAATTCGTCTCTATGCGGTGTTTTATTCGATTAATTTGGCTTTCATGTTCTAATGTTGCCCAAGCACGTTCTCGTTTACGGAAGATACCTACCTTACAAGCAATTGAAAAGAGGTAGGAAATTTCCGATAAATTACTTTTTCGAAAAATTCCGGTACTACACATAGCGGCTTATTGTAGTTGACACTTTCCACAAACCATTCTCCGACATGTTCGAAAGCGTGTCTTTTCGGATCGTTATCAATTAGGTTGCGTTCACACTTCGCGACTCAAGCAGTTAGCGCGTGACTCCAAAACCACGTAACTGCGGCTGAGCGCGCTCCACCGCTTATCGCTGTACCCTTGCAATGGTCGAGAGAAGTGATTCGCTCTTTGTCATCAAACTAGCTGCAGCGGTTCCACGACTGAGGCAGCGTTCAGACTTTGCGATGGCCGCGCGTTCGACTCGATCGATGCGCATGCTTTCGACTGCATCGGTCGCGCCAGTAAAGCGTCGCCGTCGCGGAGTCTGAACGCAGTCTAACGGCGAAGCGCGGTCGGTTCCGGTTTGCGCGGGTGGCGAGGTATGAATACGAGGTTTGGGTGCATTCATACTTTTCGTCGACATCTGAGCGCTTTGAGCGAAAAGGAGGGTATGGATCGATCTAGCATTTTTACCGTTTCTACCAAACCTTTCAAAACGCTAGATCGATATCTACACTCATCTTCTTAAAAGCACAAAAGGGTATGTGTTTCCGAAGCGCAGCAGTTCTTCCTCACTTTACGAACTTTATTATTAGTTTTTTTCAGTTCCTATCACTTACGACATTTCTGTATTTTAGGATAGCCTCACACAGTTTTTCACGCCATCTGCTGGACGACGATGTCGTCAACCGCCTCGAAAATTTGACGAATCTGGAGTGAACAGCGATGATAGCGTTCATCACCACAGTGAGTAGCGCACTTTTTTGGTTTCTTTTCTTTTCTTCTTCTTTTAGTCCCGTGTCAGCATGAATATTACTTTTATTTTTCTTCGCGACTGCTCTTTATTGCAGTGGTTTTCATAAAATCATTGTGCCGTACAGTCGATATCGTTCATCTGTGAGGACGGTGTCAAGATGAATGGAACTACACCCGCGGCGATTTCTGCCGCTGGTTGTTTTTTTCGTGAATCAGCCATCGTGGTTGAAAAAGCGGCAGGAGACAAGCTCATTACGCTCCTGCTGACACCGCCCTGAATGATTGCGATGATATCAACTGTAACTGACGCACTGCAAAAACTTTCTTCGAAACTTATTTTTCACTTAAGGGAGAAATTAAGGGAGGAATTTAGTGGAAATCCTGTGGTTTTCTGTTTCTTGTGTAAGCTACTGTCTAGGAATCGCTTTGAACATGTGCTTCCATTAATACCAAAGGATTCATTGTCCCTCTATAGGCCCATTTGATCGGAATCTCAAATGAACACACTATTTCTATCAGGATTTTCGTTCTATCAGGTCTTGTTTTGGGGCTCGGAACTTCTCAGCTACCACGAATTTCCATGGCTTGGGTTCTTGAAGCACCTTGCCCGCGAAAGAGAATGAAACTCATGAGACTGAAATGTGGTCTACTCATTTTCATCTCTCTTTCACTTTTTTTCCGGAAGCATCACCGTTTTGAAGGGTTCGCAACCAGTAAACATCACATTTCCAAGGAGCCAACGGGTTTCTACTAGTTCCGATTATTCTTGCTTAAAATTTTTCTTGATTCTTTTTTCTTGCACCTTAAAAAATATCATCCCGTTCGGGATTAAGGCGAAATTCTCTATAGAGCTTCAAAGTCACCTTACAGTACAGTCTTCCGGTTCAGGTACTTCCAGGTCGAAGCACCTTTCCAACTTTCCATATTCTTATTTTCTTCAAAATCACTTTTTTCAGATGAAAGCGGTGGCGAAAAGGTCGAACCTCCCGCTGAAAAAATAGCTCGACGAAAAAAGTCGTCCACTGAGTCTTCAATAATGGTTAGTGGTGTTCATTTCTTTTTATTGTTTCTAGTTGTTTCGTATATAATTTTTCTATGTTTTGTTTCTCCAATGTTTATTATGATTTGTGCGCTTCGTACAGTTCACTTCAGTTTTATTTGAATCCCGCATGTTTTTGAATCCCTCCACCTGCCTTTTGAGTCCGTCAACTTATCGACACGCCTGGTTCGTATCCTCCTAGGGGGGATCCGAACGACAAGGACTTGCGTTTTCACTGAAATTTTCTTGTGTTCATGTGAGTCGGAACCTTTTGTCCGAACAGTGACTTATCCAAAAACACTCAGATATTTGTCAGAAAAGAAGAGAGCCGTGTTGTCGAGTTCGTTTGGAGCTCGTAGAATTTGCCCCTAACCCCTTGTCGCTACCAGAAGTGCGCAGCGAAAATGAGCCAAATTTTCTGTGGGCTCCGTATGAACCTCTACCCTCTGCAACATGCAACAAACCGTA